TTTTTTTTTTTTTTTTCCCTTGCCTTCAACAGTCTTGATCGAGTTACAGGGGTTTTGCTTTTGAGAAGGAATGGAGTAGGGGTGGGAAGAACCAATTGAAGCCTGGCCCGTGACGACCTCAACAACTGAGAAGAATGTTGCCTCTTGCAGGCAAGTTTTCAGTATTTATTCAATCCCCCCGTGAGCCTTGTACTTGGCCTAGTTACTAAGAAATCGAAAGGGGAAAAAATAGCTTCATCTGCTCAGGGTTCATAATGAAGGGAGAACAAACACAGAATGCAGAAAACTGGACTCTGGCAAGGTTCTGGGAAGAGTGCCCTGCTTAGCTGAGATACCAGATTAAGGAAAGAGATTCTTGGTTCCTCCCTGCAGTGTAATGAATGGTACGGGACGGTGGAGCGTTGGTGTTCTCAGCACATTTTGGACAGAGCTGCATGCGGGCTCATCAGTTTGGGGACTGATGAAGCTTCGCTTGTTCCATCCAGCAGTCGCATGTTCTCGGATTCCTCGTTCCCGCTTGAATTCCTCTTTTGCCCTGGCTCCACTCTGAGATGAAGACTGCATAATTCAGAAAATGCAGCACGAGTAATTATGTCTGGTGTGATACTAAACACTTCCCACAGACAGCACACATCCGCAGAAGCTGCAGCTTGGGAGAAGTGCTGGTGTCCCTGTCCCCACTACCTCAGCCTTCTCTGATCATTCTCCGTCACATGATCTATTGTGATGTCAAAATGTAGCCTGGCCATCCTGGGAACTTGTTAGAAATGCACATTTCAGCAGCCCGCCTCACACCTTAAAGGGCCCAGCTCTCTTGTAACTAGCAACAGATGAAACTTGCATGGTTCTGATGCAAAGCCCTGGCGTTTATATTTTAGTCCCTAGATGCAACTAATCTGAGCTGAACCTCTCCTTCAAACCTGAGGCATCGCGTAGCAAACCGTGGGAAATTCATCCCACACTTTGCTAGGCAATTAGTATGGACTAAGAGCAGTGGAATCACTCTATTCCAAGCCTCAGAAGGAGGGCGAACAAGAATGGCTGCAAATTTGAGACCTTCCTTCATGGCCCCCCTGTCCATCCCACCCAGTCCGGCTCCCTTTGGAGCCTAAAGCTGACAGACCGGGCATACCAGTGTGCAAGGCCCTCACAGCTGTTTAACAGATCCCGCTTCCTCTCCATGGCATCTCCCCAGCTGCTGTTGCAGTGAGTGTGTTCGACTTTTGTGAGCTCATGTTTGGCTTTGAAGCACCCTAAATCAGTGGTTCCCAACCAAGGCTACCCATTAAGGGTTATCTAGACTTTTTAAAAAATCGGCCAGGCGCGGTGGCTCACGCCTGTAATCCCAGCACTTTGGGAGGCCAAGGCGGGCAGATCACGAGGTCAAGAGATCGAGACCATCCTGGCCAACATGGTGAAACCCCATCTCTACTAAAAATACAAAAATTAGCTGGGCGTGGTGGTGTGTGCCTGTAGTCCCAGCTACTAGGGAGGCTGAGGCAGGAGAATTGCTTGAACCCAGGAGACGGAGGTTGCAGTGAGCCGAGATTGTGCCACTGCACTCCAGCCTGGCGCCTGGCAACGAAACAAGACTCTGTCTCAAAAAAAAAAAAAAAAAAAAAAAAAAGAAATCAAGCCTAGACAACATAATGAGGACCCACCTCTACAAAAAAAATAATTTTTTAATTAGCCAAGTTGATGGTGTGCACCTGCGGTCCCAGCTACTCAGGTGGCTGAGGTGGGTGGATCGCTTGAGCCCAGAAGGTCAAGGCCACAGCAAGCTGTGATCACTTAACTCCAGCCCAGGCTCCAGCACAGAGGCTGTCTCTGCGCTCCTCCCTTGGGACAGTCTTCCATCTGAAGCTTCATTTGTCACTGTGCAGACTCAATTCTTTCTCTTTCTTTGTGTGTGTGTGTGTGTGTGAGAGAGAGAGAGAGAGAGAGAGAGACAAAGTCTCGCTCTTATTGCCCAGGCTGGAGTGCAATGGCACGATCTCAGCTCACTGCAACCTCCGCCTCCTGGGTTCAAGTGATTCTCCTGCCTCAGCCTCCCGAGTAGCTGGGACTACAGGCACCTGGTACCATGCGCAGCGAATTTTTCTGTATTTTTTTTTTTTGTTGAAACAGGGTTTCACCATGTTGGCCAGGCTGGCCTTGAACTCCTGACCTCAGGTGATCCACGTGCCTCGGTCTCCCGAAGTGCTGGGATTACAGGTGTGAGCCACCGCGCCTGGCCAATTCTGTCTTTAATTCATGTTTCTTTGCCATTCTGTGGCCACCCTTTTCCAAATGCCTGTTGGATGTTGCCTGCTGTCTTTGTTGTGTCCTTTGGATTTGTTTGCCACTGTTCCAAATTTTTTATTACTAAAATGATTTACAATTTGATTTCCAGGCTTGCTTTTCTTTTTTTTTAAAGACAGGGTTTCACCATGTTGGTCAGGCTGGTCTTGAACTCCCGACCTCAGGTGATCTGCCTGCCTTGGCCTCCAAAGTGCTTGGATTACAGGCGTGAGCCACCACGCCTGGCCCTCCAGACTTTATTTTCTACAGCTTGCCTAATGTTTTAAAAGTCCTTTCCTGGCCATTTGAGTATAAGTCACATTAATAATATACCCCCATCCCCGTCACACCCTAGTGCCGCTCATTTGTGTTTAAATGTAACCTTACTAAGCTTCATTACCCACCTGACTTTCTTGTCTTTTTATGGTGGTAAAATATAACAGAAAATGTATCATTGAAAGTATGCATGTCAGTATCGTTACGTACATTCATGTTGACGTGCAGCCATCACGTTCCGCCCTCCATCTCCAGAACATTTGCATCTTCTCAGCTGAAACTCTGCCCTGTTAAACACCGACTCTTGCCGTGTGCAGTGGCTCACACCTGTGATCCCAATTTGGGAGGCCAAAGCAGGTGGATCACTTGAAGTCAGGAGTTCAAGACCAGCCAGGCCAACATGGTGAAACCCTGTCTCTCCTGAAAATAAAAAAATTAGCCAGGCATGGTGGCACACCCCTGTAATCCCAGCTACTCAGGACGCTGAGGCAGGAGAATCTCTTGAACCCGGGAGGCGGGGTTGCAGTGAGCCAAGATCGTGCCACTGCACTCCAGCCTGGGGGACAGAGAGAGACTCCATCTCAACAAAATAAAAATAAACACTGACTGTCCCTCCAGCCAGCTTCTGGCAACCATTTTTCTACTTTTCTTGACTACTCTAAATCCATACATATAAGTGGAATCGTACAATATTTGTCCTTTTATGACTTATTTCACTTAGCCTCAGGCTTCAAAGTTTTTGTAGTATGTATCAGAATTTCCTTTTTAAGGTTAATTCACAGGATCTGCATTTTGTTTTCCGTTCATCCATCAGTGGACGTGGGTTTCTTCCTCCCACCATTTGGCTGTTGTGAATAATCCTACTACAAACATCGCTGTGTAGGTATCAGTCCTTTCAACTCTTTTGGGTGTATATGAAGGGGAATTGCTGGGTCGTGTGGTCATTCTGTGTTTAAGTTTTTTGGTTTCTGGTTCTTGGATTGTTTGTTTTTTGAGACAGTCTCACTCTGTGGCAAGGCTGGAGTACAGTGACGTGATCTCGGCTCACTGCAACCTCCACCTCCCAGGTTCAAGTGATTCTCCTGCCTCAGCCTCCTGAGTAGCTGGGATTACAGGCACCCGCCCCCATGCCTGGCTAATTTTTGTATTTTTAGTAGAGACGAAGTTTCACCATGTTGGCCAGAATGACTTCGATCTCCTGACCTTGTGATCTGCCTGCCTCTGCCCCCTAAAGTGCTGGGATTACAGGTGTAAGCCACTGCACCCAGCCAGGTTTTTTATTTTTAATAGAGATAGGGTCTTGCTCTGTTGCCCGGGTTAAAGTGCGGTGGTATGATCAGAGCTCACTGCAGCCTCCAACTCCAGGGCTCAAGTGATCCTCCTTCCTCAGCCTCCCAAGTAGCCAGAACTACAGGTGCACACCACAGTACCTCCCTAATTTTTGTTTGGGGTTGTTTTTATTTTTTTGACTAATTTAAAAAAAAAAATTTGGGCAGGAGGCTGAGGCAGGAGAATTGCCTGAACCCAGGAGGCGGAGGTTGCAGTGAGCCGAGATCGCGCCATTGCACTCCAGCCTGGGTAACAAGAGTG